TACATTGAAATTGCTGAAAAGTAATGATGTGGTTTCACTCCAACTCATGAATAATCTTGTATATTGTTATGCTGTAAGTGACGGAAGCCATGAAAACCAGACAGGAAACCACCAGTATGATAATATTATGATATTTTCAACTCCTTTGAAGCGACAACTCAAAATGCTTTTATATTTGGTATGCAGGTACCTTTGGTTGACATCTCTCAGATTTGTTTATGTCAATATTTTTAAATTCTCCATTTTTAAGGTTATTTAGGGTATAAACCATTTCAGCATTCTGGTACACCATAATATATGTATGTTGCACAATTCATAACATACAAATAATTATCTAATTATTACCTTCAATTATCCAATTTTAGTGAATATTTCTGTCCTTTTTGGTAAAAATGTTGCTATTTTTAACTTATTCTCAAAAATGGCAAGCCCCATTGCTTCGATGTTTTAGAGGTTAACCTATAATCTGTTGATTGTTTGTAAACATTGATTTGTTTTGTCTCTTTATAGCCTATGAGAATTTACAGACTCGTAAAGAAGTTCGTGAAAATGCATGGCAAAAACCAGGATGGGATCAAACTGTAGCTTATACAGGTAGACAAAACAAATATTTGAGCAATGTAGCTTATGTCACTTCTGAACCCAGTATGTCACTTCTGAACCGAGTATGTCACTTCTGAATCAAGTATGTCACTTCTGAACCGAGTATGTCACTTCTGAACCCAGTGTGTCACTTCTGAATCCAGTGTGTCACTTCTGAACCCAGTATGTCACTTCTGAATCCAGTATGTCACTTCTGAACCGAGTATGTCACTTCTGAACCGAGTATGTCACTTCTGAATCAAGTATGTCACTTCTGAATCAAGTATGTCACTTCTGAACCGAGTATGTCACTTCTGAACCCAGTATGTCACTTCTGAACCCAGTGTGTCACTTCTGAATCAAGTGTGTCACTTCTGAATCAAGTATGTCACTTCTGAATCAAGTATGTCACTTCTGAACCCAGTGTGTCACTTCTGAACCCAGTGTGTCACTTCTGAACCCAGTGTGTCACTTCTGAACCCAGTATGTCACTTCTGAATCCAGTATGTCACTTCTGAATCCAGTATGTCACTTCTGAACCCAGTGTGTCACTTCTGAACCCAGTGTGTCACTTCTGAACCCAGTGTGTCACTTCTGAACCCAGTATGTCACTTCTGAATCCAGTATGTCACTTCTGAACCGAGTATGTCACTTCTGAACCGAGTATGTCACTTCTGAACCGAGTATGTCACTTCTGAACCGAGTATGTCACTTCTGAACCGAGTATGTCACTTCTGAACCGAGTATGTCACTTCTGAACCGAGTATGTCACTTCTGAACCGAGTATGTCACTTCTGAACCGAGTATGTCACTTCTGAACCCAGTATGTCACTTCTGAACCCTGTATGTCACTTCTGAACCCAGTATGTCACTTCTGAATCCAGTATGTCACTTCTGAACCCAGTATGTCACTTCTGAACCCAGTATGTCACTTCTGAACCCAGTATGTCACTTCTGAACCCCGGTTCTGAACCCAGTATGTCACTTCTAAGTATATAACTTTTGAACTGAGTATGCATTTAATAATGGTATAGTATCATAGAAATTAACATTTTGTTTTTTTATATTTCTTTCTCCAGTTCCTCTGATTCGTAAAATGGAGTCTCGTATTATGCGACCATTTGCTCACTCTCCTTTGAAATAAATCTGTCTGGGAAATGACGTGAAGTGAAGTGATGCACATCGGCAGAAATTTGAACATTAAATCTTTACCCATAAAAATATAATTTTGTAAAACCCCATTTGTTGACAAGTAAGCACTATTTAATTGTGGGATTTACTACTGTTACCTGATTATGTGTGGGTGTCAATTTCCTGACGCTCTGCATTGGAATTTTGTTCCTTGTCTCATCTGTATTAAAGTGATTTATCTTCTAACAGTTTGATACCAGTACTCAGTTCCAGCATCAAAGCTGACATTAAATGCCAAAGTTCTTACACATCCTATATTTGAATGTATTATAAACATTAAGTAATGTAATTTTCATGCATTGTATTCTGTAAAAGTGTGAAATTTTCACTACAAGAAATGTTTCAGATTTCATAATTTAAGAGGACAGAATTTTGCGAAAGTCACTTGCACTCTCTTCATTCAACCCTTTGAGCATCAGTCATTTTTTGTTATCAATTTTGATAACTACCTATACCCAATAAAAAAACTGATATCCATTTGATTCAAAATAAACAAAGAAATTACACACACAAATGTTGTGCTTTTGACAGGAAAAATCATGGTGCTCAAAATGTAGGTAATAAAGGACCCCAATGAAATTACCATTGCTACAGTATTGTATTATATCGGTATTGGCTTACAGTACATTACATGGGACCTTTGGAGGTAATTCTCTCGTTTTTAATGATGTACACAACCTTTGTGAAATCTCCACAGCTAGTACCTAGAACTTATTTGCTTGTAGGATGATTACAATCACCTTTTTTTCTTAGAAAACTAGTGTATATACGTCTTTATTTGTACTTGCTTGAGGTAATGTGTTTCTCATGAAATTGTATTGATTCAGTGTATTGTACAGTACCACTTGTGTGATGCTTAGTACGAGACAAGTATACAAATTATATGGTTTGTTTACATAAAAATTGATACACCGAATTGTCGCTTTTACATTTTTCCACACCACCACCCTTCATAGGTAAATGTTAGTCATTGCATAAACTGGTCACTTTAATTCAGGTAAGTTCAAGGTTTAAGGGACAAAAGAATACGTACCATTAGGCCTGGAAAAAAAATCAGATTTTTTTGTGAAATCCTTGGGGCAGCCAAAAAGTTTAAACATGTTTATGCATCTTGAATGTGCTTTAAATTATAACTAAAACACAGATACTGCAAAGAAAATATTGCAAACATTAAAGAAGACTATTCTCAGCTGTGTACAATGGCTATGAGTGTGGTTGAGAAGACTCGCAGTTTGAAATTTGAAGAAAACAAAAATATGACTAGATAATGGCTGCAATATATCACAGATGGGTGATCTGTTAATAATGTGAGATGCTTTTAAAGTTATGAAAAAGTTAAATTGGTTTTGAGGATCATGTAAGGCACCTGTTGTATATAACCTATCTGGAGTATGATTAGAATTTGTTTATTTTCAATTATTGTCATATTGTGTTGGATTGATTGACACTTAGTTTTGACCAAAAGTTTTAACAAATGATGCATTTTATGGGTTTAGTATATATTGACAACAAAAAATGATGATAAATTAATAACTATCTGGTACTGATTGAACTCGTTGCAGGACTATTCTGGCAATGATTCACAATACTATTCTACAAGTTGGAATTTTTGAGAACTAGAAGAAATTCTATTTTGTTATTCGTCTTTGTTTCATCAAAGTTGATTTGTAAACAACTAGAAGAAAACAAATTTATTTATTTTTTCCAAAAATCAGTAAAGGTCAGGCAATGCAGTGAGATGAATCGGAAAGTACTAATAAGTAAGTAATAAATAAATATCTGGTATAGCCTGGCGGGTTCGATTATTAGTGCGCCCTCTATTGACAGTTATCACATTGCTATTTGTTTTTACTTTGTAACTTATTTTTATGTTTGAGCTTTGGAATGTTGCATTGTCAGAGCTAATAAATCATTAGATGAACTCTGTTACAAAAGTTTTGTAATTTTGTAGTTCATTATTTATTAAAAAATATGTAATATTTTGAATACCATACCAACAATATCACGCTCTGTATCGACAATTTTAATTGGTCCTTGCACGCAAGTTCAAATTGACGTCACCGACTAACAATACATAGGAGACAAAA